AATTAACCTGTTGCTATTTCAAGCCTTTGGCATCACTGATCAATTGGCCGATCATTGAAAGGTGATTGTGAAGATGTGTCAAGTAGATACTAAGGTAAATTCATAGATTTCTGTAAATTGTCACTGCGACCGTTTGGATTTTTTTTCGTGTTTTTTCTCTCTGGGATGGGTTGTAGCGAGGGTAACCTTAAATGGGCTTTCAACCACGCTTCTGTATGAATTCGTACCAGGGAATTCCAAGGGTTTTCCCCAGGAATGTGGAAGTAGTCAGTGTTTACGCCTTTTCAATAATACAGTCACGTGAAGAACGTCATGTGACCGACCTCGCGTCCAAGTCGTATATCTTGTAAACTTCACATTAAAAAATTAGTTATTGTTATAACCAAATGAAATACAACCCATTATCCGATAGGGGTAACTGTAGATAGCCGTTACCACAATAAACTTAGTAACATTGTTTGGTTTGAAATACTGAAATAATAAACGTCAGTGTTAGGTAGTAGTATGTTTCCAGTCGCAATTACATTTTACAATATTACTGCATATGTAAACTCTCACAGTTAGTGACATGAAAATATATGTCTTTTATCAATTTGTATTACAAAGAACACAAAACATAAATTAACAGCATATGATCTCTTCTTTACAATCACAACATCAGTTACTGCCATTCAGTTAAATGAATGCACATGACCGCATGTGCAGCATGAACAATGGAATATGATGCATACCTTTATTCAAAGGCTGATTTGAATCTTCGAGGTAAATGGATGAGTGTGTCCTATAAAGCTTGAGCCTGACCTTATATACATATGCAGTGCCAGTAATACTCAATGAGCAATAATTCACATATGGCGTATTTGCATCACTTCTGAACTGTCACTCTAATAATGACATCATATTGTGATCACCCATGCAACGCGTGATGTTCTTCAGGCGACAATTACCGCCACAATTCCGATAGGTACTTGACAAATGTAATGATTATGTTTGAACATGTAGTAATTAATGGTAAATCGCCAGATGACATGTGAAACGGGTTTGACATATCACTTCATGAAGTCAGGACCGTGCAGGCAGATATGATTTAGCGGGAATATTGCTGGCTGCGACATCTAGCAACATTGCCTTACTCATTCACCCACGCTTATCTTTCGTATAAGTTATACGCTTCTATAATGTCACTGACGAGCTTTGCTGAACAGTGAGTGAGTGAGTGAGATTTTACGCCGCATTTAGCAATATTCCAGCAATATCACGGCGGGGGACACCAGAAATGGGCTTCACACATTGTACCCATGTCGGGAATCGAACCCGGGTCTTCGGCGTGACGAGCGAACCTTTTGATATGACATAATAATATCAGTACTTTTTGTTTAAGTCGATTTTTTTAACAAAATTGACAGGAGCTGAGTGGGATTCTGTTTTTCTTGAATACATGTTTAAGGTTGACTTGCAAAATGTAAATACAGTGTTATTTAAAACCATGATTTTAAAATGGAGTATTACTTTTCGTGTATTATCAATAGAGTTGTACATGTATAGGTATCATGTTTATGCATTTGCATGAGATCATAGAACATAGAACACATTAATCATTCGCGTGTTAAGGTTTTCTACTCTTAAATTCACTGTCTGTTGATCGGGGCTTTTTCGGGCTCACATGTAGGAGTTAAAGCTAATTTAGAATTTCTTGTTTTGTAAGGTTCTTTGGCAATTACAAACCACTCCTGTAGTTAAGAATTTATGACAGTAGAATCGAAAAGCATACAATGAAAACAATTTTGTTAATCTTCATCAGTGAGTAATAATTTGTACGTTGTTTTTGTGGACTTTATAATAAACACCCTGCTTACAGTTCAGTATATTATCCTCTCTTCAAATTTGTGGATTTCAAAACTTAATTTGAGAAAAGTTTGTTTAAGGATAAAACACTTTCAAAATTCTAAAAGGTTCACAGTACCATATCAATAGACATCATTGACAAGACTGACAAGAAAGACATTCATTCCATACAATCATGTTTTGTGAATTTGTATCTCTAAATGACTAAACTAACACCTTTTATTGTGAAGTCCCGGGCTAAGTGTGTCATTGTGAATCACCACCACCCACCAGCCTGACGTTGACTCATTGAAGTCAATTATAGATATTCAACAGTAACACATCAAACTTTCACTATGTGGACAGCATTTTAAAACATACATGTTTATAAAGTAAATTTTCCAAATGTTCCAGGGAAAGGAAACATATTTCAGGTACACGATTTCATAACAAAAAACACGTTTCAATTTGATGAATATGTACGTAATTACCACTCAGTGCATGCAAACCATTAATACATGTACTATTTAAAATCACATAAATATGTTAACTGACGTTTCCGCGGTACGATATTCATATTGATAATTCGAAACATGTATGTTCTTAAATTTATTGGATGAAACAGTTTATAAGTATCCTGAGAGTAGAGCACGGGTTACATATTTACATGAAATAAGGAGAGATTTGAAACCCGAATATATAGAAACTGAGACAAAGATTCCTCACCTAGCATAAGTAATATCAGAAAACCTCCCCCAGATGGGAAGGGAAACAATTATACAATGGATGCTATGTTAAACAATACAATGAATGCTATTGATAGAATTGTACCTTAGAGACTGTAAAAATCACTCAACATGCATAAGCAAGGAAGTGCTTCCCTGCACCATCAAGACGATACTTCCTGACTATATACCTTCATTCATTGATAAATAACTACTACAATACTAACATGGATCCCGTTAATTTTAAGTTCATTCAGACAACTTGAAGTTAATACAGAAACTGTCTTGTTGACCTCTCACGACATAAATTTTGGTGGCGTAAATCAATCCTTATAATATTTAGCTGTGATCCGTTCGGTCAGAATGTGATGGGAATTTATTCAGTAGACCTAGATATGTTAATGGTGTGTCATTTAAGGTTTCTATCAAGGCGTCCCTTTCAACAAATGCATTGTTGATTATTTATTCAAAACGCATTTGCATGTTATCATTGATTCAGGTTATTATTTCCAATGTTAAGACGAATCGATATGGTATTGTATACAGTAAAGGCAAATCAGCTGATTGGTCGATATCGAGTCACGTGTTACATTATGGTTGATTCTGGATTATATCAGAACTGTGAGCACCCGATTACCACCGTGGAGGTATGAGATATACAATATCGCGTATCGTCACGAATATATCTTTAGTTATGTACGTGTTTCTAAAAGTTAGATTAATTTTCACCATACGTGTCCAAGCATCTGTTTCATATTTAGACCTATGGATAAAGATTCAGAGTGACAGAACACTCTCCATGACCACCAGACTGTATGACAAGAGGGATGATTTAAACTTTCCAGTAGTCAACTTTCCCTTCATGTCGAGCAATATTCCAGAAGTCTTGAAATGTCAACCTCTTTATTTTGAGGAACACAACTTTTCGGAGCATATACTAAGTCTTACTTCTTCATCACGTGAATAAATGCTATGAAGGAGAGAACAAGTTTTGACAGAATGGAACTTGGTTCTTTTCTGAGACTGTAAATAGTCAAGCGAATCCTTTGAGATTTTGAGAGCCCACATTGTATTAACTCCTCTTGTCTCAAATATGTCCTGTGAATATAAAGAAAGACCTTCCTTGATTGTATTTAGGATTATGTTTAGCCTTTGAAACAGGGATTTGGTGGTACATTTGCCGAGCACAACAATATATCTCTCTTTGTCCTGATTTGTACAACACTCTAGACATTGATCACCCATTCGATATTTACAGCAGCTAGCAAGTATTCATACAAATATACCACAAAAGTAGTAATCGTCATATGCAGTGGACAGCCACGACCGGCCCTTCATCACGAGAACATTATTGTTCTAGAACTGGAAGAAGTAAGGTACAGTGTTGTTTACGCCGATACCTTTGGAAACCATTTTGTTGTGGTCTAGTAATCATGTGGTTGTTATGAACCGTTTACATCACTTAAACATAAAAAAATAAAAAAAATTATTTTAGGTTATAATTATAATATAATTAACTGTTTCACATATTCTCTGAATGAAATGATGGTTTTAACGCAAATACTCATTAACTTCACATGTAAAGTCAAATGTATTTTATATGGAAATACATGTTGAAAACAATCCATGCTTTTTTTGTGCTAGGATTATCGTTCAATTATTTTTTTAACATTGGTGATCTCACCCTGAGTCAGAATAGGTCCCATTTGCCCATTTCCGTGGCCTTGCTGATATTGTTTTTAATGTATTTTATGTGTAAATACATGTTGAACAAAATCCACGGTTTTGTGTGTGCTGGTATCAACCTTCACGTATTTTTTAAACATTGGTGATATCACCCCGAGGCAGGGACCACAATTTCCCATTCTTGTCGCGCAAAGACAAAAATAGAGATCAGGTGGTAACAATCTGTGACCTTGCTGATTATTTGTCATCTATGGAATACAGTAAAGGCCATTCTCGTGGTCTCGCAATAAGTAAATGTGGAAAAAGAAGATCAAGAAAGAACCATGTGCATAGGCGTAATTGGGAGTTATCGTATTACGTATGTCCGCGGACAGCGACTAAAACACTCTTGTTCCACACTACAGTTGTTACAAGTCGAGATCGCGAGAGAACACAGAACAGAGAACACGAGAAAATCCCTAACAGTGTTCCCTAGACATTAATTAAACATTGACATTCGCGTGCAAAAACACAAGTGCCTTCAAATAGTAAGGATTAGTATCATACCGACAACTCAGATGACAAACTTTTACACGTGGTAGAGTTTAGTCTTACAGGATCCGTAGTGTCCAAGAGGAAAGATGGCATCCATGCGTATGTGTGTGAAATGTAATTCATGGAACTTTTAATGTTAAGAGATTGGCATGAATGTGCATCAGCAATTATCCACGTTATAGAAAAACGTTCGTCTGGTATTGCAATGGCAAACTAAAACATGAAACATTGTCCCTTCAATTCGATGTTTATTCAGTTTCTCTGATGTAATACAGTGTGTATATCAAGCAGAACCTAGTTTACCTGGAAACCATCTGAAAAAAATAAAACAGACTTTTGTAAATATACATGAGCGTACACATTTCAATGGGTAGAAGATTATTCATCCACCCTTATGTCAATTAAACTTCAAATTGTGGTTTTTAAATTTTTGATACATTATTTATTTATCAAAATTATCTAAATAAAAAAGTATAGTTTTCAATAACGTTTATACTGTGAGATTGTCTATGTATACACAAACTCGTTATTTATTCTTTATCGGTACCTGTATCTTTGATATCAAACATTTACAATATTTGGACAGCATGATCAGGATAAAAGTGTTTGTGTATAGGAAATGATATAATTGATGAGACATCAGAAAGAATGTCTTCTCTTCTCACCTCAGAACTGGTTATTAAAAGTCTAATATCTGTTGTATCTCCCGAAAAAGTTGTTGTTGCCACGCCCAGTATTGCGGTAGCCCCATCCTCTTCCATACATGTACATGGAGTTGTAGTCGTCGTCCATGTAGTCAGGAGTGTCCATGTCACTCATATAGTTATACTGAGCAAAGTTCCTCCAGTAGTTGGGCGATCTGTACCCGCTAGAGACGGCAACAGCGACGACAAGAAGGAGGAAGGCGAACTTCATATGCATGGTAAATGGCAGTCTGCTGGAAAAGAAATACTTATGTGTCTTAAGGAGATATCTTCTCGTTAGTACTGTAATAGAACCTCGTTTTTGTTGACAGATAAATTAATGTTTCTGTTACAAATGCAAGGTTTAACGTATTTCTTGTTTCAAAACCACAATAATTCCAATATTATGTGCATTTATTACACACTATTTTATAATAGCCTAGACGGTCAATATTTTTTAACAAATATGCATCTCTGTTTTTATTGTTACATTACCTTTTAAAGCCAAGGTGCTTGTGCAATGGTCGAGTTCCCTTTTGAAAGGAAATAGGGGTTTTATATACACACAATGTTGATGTGCAATGTGAATACATGAAACATGTCAATTCATCATAAATGTGTCACCTACTAGTGTTCTTGGAGCACAAAGCGTATCATCGTTACGATTAGGTCATTTACCAATTACTGTGCATTTTGCAATCATGGGTCATTGATTTGCTCATTACTCAATGCGTTGAAAAGCCATTATTCATATCGTGAGATTGGCGTAGCTAAGTAGGGTATGACATATGTGTATGTGCCTCCTTTATCATACCTAATCACAATCTGATCTAGTGTGGACTAGTTCAATTAATAAAGCGACAAAACCCTTTCCATATCCAAAAGAAGTCTCTGCATAAAGCAGAGTCGATTGTACAATTCCGACTATATCAGCAGCATGTGTTTATGAATCACTATTAACAGTAATGATACCAGGTGTTCGCGAAAAGGTGAGCGTATCCTGCCACATCGGTGGCAATCGTCACGAACACATGCAAAGGCAAGTCAATGGTTCACCTGAAAAAAGCATGGGAACATATGGTATAAGTCAAAATAGGGAATTGCATCGGACATCATTTTTGTCACTGGTGTGTCAAAGTGTCCTCCATATGTCCACCTTAAAATCTTTTGAAAGCTTTACTAAGGGCTTGGGTGTGCGTAACATTGTTCAATTAACTTCTGAGCAAGAGTCGTATGACGCTCTTTGAAACAAGCCATATTTAGATGGTTGTGCAACTCTGTGTGTTTATGGTGAGAGGACAACATATACCCGCCTCAGATACAATGTAACTGCTTTTACATTTCACTAATGTAAGCTATGTCTATAATCATGCTATGATATGTATACTATGTTATTGTGATAGACCGTAGATAATGAATAGTGTATTATTAATGTCAGATCAGGTCAAGTCCCAATCAATACATTATAAACTTTCAGTATTCGGGGCTTTAACATAGGGATTCCTGTGCCGGATAGATTTCTTGGGGGGGTTGTTTCACGTTTACGCCATATTTAACATTCCAGCTTTATGATAGGGGGCCGGTAGTGGATGTTATACTAGTCTGTGCCGGACAAACCAGTGGCAGATCATGTGAGCAGCGTCCCACAACGTTACGGATGCTTACTACCCGATCCTCGCTGTCCGTTCGTACGACAAGCATTAATTACCTCGAACCTATGCCAAATTGGAATCTTCCACCGTGGATAAGTTTTACATGCCCCACGGTAACAGAAAGCCCACCTAGAGAAGGTGTGGTTAACCTGATTAAATGTATGTCATCGTATCCCCTATTTGTTTATCCTGCTGTTATTCCAACTTCCCTACATGACAAACCTGTGAAAAGACTTCATTCCTTGACTCATGTGACATTTGTCACAAAACTTGGTTACCATGCTAGGTATAGTTACACCTCGTTCTTCACAGGTTCAGAACAATTTTTCATGAATAAAACCAAATAGCATCTGACGTTTACTGAGAAAACAGTTATACGTTATATTGGACTTCCTTCTTGATAACATTTATTTATTTAGGCATGAAAAAGGACTTTCCCTTTATGTCGAGCTATATTCCAGGGGCTGTACTTTTGGTGTTTAAGACATCTATGTAAATATATATGGGTGGTATAAAAGGCATCCACATATGAATTAACACGTTACCTCTGTTTCTCTTGTGTGCTACTTACCACCAACATGACCTGCACAGTTATGTAACAAATTAAACCATTTTGGAAATTACACATACTCAAAAATATGTTTCTTTTGACGTTCTTTTACAAGAGAGACAAACGATTCAACTTAATAAATATTCAGATTTCTGTAGAGATAATGTAATAAATTAAACGTTGTAGTTAAAATACACAATGAACTGTAGAATTTGTGTTCACTTTTAATTACGTATTGCATGTATAACAAATACCTCAGGCTCGCGTCCCTTTGAAGAATACTTAACCCTATATGATAGTGCCTTGTTGATTACAAAAATGAGCTCGTGTGTGAATGACTATGACAATTCACAACAGAGGTCATACAGGAGAGGTTTCTTGAACCACTACAACCCTTTCAACCCCTACACTACATTCTTGTACAACGCTCTAGACATTGATCACCCCATCGAGTTCTACAGCAGCTGGTATATATCAAAAACCGTCCTTCCATCATAGCTTCATTATTTCCGCTAATTTGTGAACTATACCAATCTATGATTAAAATCTTAAGAATGTGAGGTCCTCACAATGTTCCAGCCAAAATGGCAAAATAAATTGGGTTAACTCAATTTGGGATTTTTGTCGTTGTGGCGCAAGGACGCCGTGAAACGTGGCTTCCTTTATTCCCTATTGCTTTTATAAGTATTATCAAAGTGATTGCATTGACTTTATTTTTCATACGGTTGTTCCGTTTTTATTATTCTAGATGAACGTCACCAATCAGTACGTCTTTGCCCTAATGGAATCAGCATCCATCTGCACTGGGAATACATTAGGCGGCATGTAGATTTACAAGAAGGAATTGTAAAACTCTGTTGTCTATAATCAAAAATTTCACGTACGTTTTCCAAGGTGTATGTGCTTCGTTATATGCATAGCTATAGTTGTCTTTTACTTCATCTGCACAAAAACATTCCTCGACAATAACATGCTGGAGTGAGTGAGTGAGTATTGTTTAACGCCGCTTTTATCAATATTCCAGCAATATCACGGCAGGGGGCACCAGAAACGAGTTGCTTAATTAATGAAGGCAGGGTCGACTTATTCAGTTGACTTAAGCAGTTATTCACATTTTTCGCACCTACAATGTCAACCCTTCAAACTTCTGACTGTCTCATTATTCAACAGACAAAATATACCCCGTCTGGCTACAGTCTTGTTACGTATTTTGCATAAACTCTAAAATAGGACATACTGTAGTGCGGTAGTGTTACAATACTGTGTTGGTGTCAAAACTTTCATCAGATCCGATGATCTTCGTGATATTCATATTTGTTAAGTTTGAAAACTGTGTCACAGTGTATTTCTTTCCGACAATTGTCAACGGCGAGTGAGGGAATGAGTTGGATTATACGCCACTTTCAGCAATAATACAGCAATAAGAAGTCGGGAGACACCAAATCATCTTCACATATTTTACCCATGTGAGGAATCGAATCCATGCCTTTGTCGTGACGAACGATCAATTAAAGCTCTAGGCTGTCCCACCGCCCCTCAGCAGGTTGCAATTACGCTTCGACGAATAATCACTTAAAATACATTATTACATATACATGCAGTTTTGAGCCGCATACACAACATATAGGTGGCAAACATTACGGAATAGCTGAGCTGAGGTTCCCTTTACCAAGCTACTATCATGCAACTAATTACCATGTTCAGGAGACATGTGCAGTAAGTGTGTGTTGTAAATATTTCTTGTCTCATTTTTTGCGTCAAAAAGAGACACACTGATATCGCTGAATAGGGTTGGGTGGCCTGCCTAAATTAAGATATAAGTCTTACCTAGAACTTTTACCACTTTATTGAAAGATCTATAAGGATCATGATCACTTGTGAACATTGCATCTGAAAATGTCACCTATAAATATAAATTGTTATTAATAGTTAAGTAATATAACTGCGCCAGTCACAGGGATTGGCCTCTTTCCTGTTGCCAACATTGAGCTTCCAGATAGATCCAATTATTACCTGTTGCTTGACATTTTCGTTGATGAGAATTCAATCACAACAAGAAATGAAAAGAAATACAGAGTGTATGTAACTATATTTATTTATCAGGTCAATCAAATTAGTCTCCAAAAACAAGCAAAACAATGGACATTTTCACATTATGACCACACTTTGAAAGTTCAAGGACCGGGAAGTAAGTGTTGCATAGGACATTGGGGAATGAACGTTGACTTTCATACATGCCTTTCATCCACGTACAAATGTAGAGACCTTGAACTGCTGACCATGAAGGTATACTTACCCTGGACGGCCTCAGGATGTAGCTGTCATGGGCCTCAATGATATCACTTACTACAACACGAATTCGTGATAGACAGGAAATACATAAAAGGCCGTTGTCCGTATAATGTCTCTTGTTCTATATGAATGCATGCACGAGCAAAATGTATTTTTTTATTGTATCGTCAAGGAGCCAACATATTACCCGACAATGGTCTCTTTAACTGCCATTGTTCTTTTGTCAGTTTCAATCCTGCACAAAGAATTATTATGTTCACGCTTTTTTCATATGTATTTGTTTATGGCTTAGGTACAGGTATATAAGCTCCTCGATATTCAGTTTGTTCAAAACATAATCATTTTCCAGACTAAAGCAGCTAACCTTTGAGGTATCTCAACAGTAAGTACAAACGATGTTTTTGATGCCATAGGTTTTTACATGCAGAAGTAAAAACTGTATATATATGCATATGGCTCAATATTTTTTTTATTGAAAGGTATACACAAGAGTTAAATGAACTACAGTGTATAGTTTAAATATAATGCTTCTGCATAATAACCTGTTCCAAACAAAATATAGTTATGAGCTCATATTTGTCTTCAGATTAAAAACGGTTTACGGTAACACATTACGAATATATTTCTTTAAATAACTATTTCTGTAATATAATTAAGCAATTGGAATTTCATCTTTTTCAGTCAATATCGTCACCATGATTTCCCAAATTATGCTGATTGTCCTCCTCGTCAACGTTGCTGTCATTACGGCGTTCCCATCGCCAAATAGCCCCATTGGTACCAACTCTTCCAACCCCTACAGTTTCTTCAACATGTTCACGCCAAGGCAGAATTCAAACAATGGTGGCTTCTTCAATCAATTGTTGAACCCTTTCAACCCCTACAACAGAATCATGTACGGATTATTCGACATTGAGCCCTTCTTCGACTTTGGATTCAGGTAAGTCACTTCCCACCATGGATTCGTTAAGTGATGTTTTCTGGTAACTTGTACAAATATAGAAGTGGGTAATTCAGCAAGCAACTGCTGCTTTGCGCCGCAATTCACTTCAAGCAAATTCAAGTTTTACTGCTGTGGTCAGTAAATAATCGAATCTGGGTCCCGCAAACCAGTGACAGAAAGCATAAACAATTATCCACGCAAGTGCACATCTCATTGAATCCGACCAGTTGTTTCAACTGAATCGCCTGTGACGACCATCAATATGGTGCTGGGGACAATTCTAACTCTGGTCCCCATGGGTATTTGCCTAAGACATACATGTACATGTGGATACACGCGGTTAGAACTGGCACGCTAGGGCGGCTTACGGAATCTGTCCAGCTGATTCAATTGAGTCGCCTGTGACGACCATCAATGTGGTGCTGGGGACAATTCTGGTCCCCATTGGTATTTGCCTAAGACATACATGTACATGTGCGTACATGCGGTTAGAATGGGCACGCCGGGGCACGGCTCACTTAATCTGACCGGATGATTCAATTTAATCGCCTGGTCATCATGAGGATTTACCTACATGTATACAAATGTATGATCAATATGGAGTAACTCACTGAATAAGTTGATAAAATATACAGTTGTGTCATATATGACATTTTACAAAACAGTGTTGGAGATTAGAATAATAATTAACAGTCTATGTTCATTTGTTTTCAGATAAACCATTTTCCTGTACTCTTGATGGATTTTTGCTACAAACCAAAATGAAATTGAATGACAAATGGCGAAAATAAACGTTTAATCTTTCCTATTTGCGTTTGTATTAATCTACACACTGGATGCCGTGGTATATTTACACATAACGTGACGGGGCAGTGGGTTAGCCTTGTGTAATGGCTAAAGCGTTCTCTCGTCACGATTTCCCACACGTGTAAAATGTGTGAAGCCCATTTGTGGAGTCCCCCGCTGTGATATTGCTGGAATCTTACTAAAAGAGGCGTGAAACCATACTCACTCACGCGCAAAGAGGGTTTGGGTTATCCAGGCACAGTCAGGCTGGTTAAGCAAATACTTATAAATGTCATTTGAGTTTTGTAAGCATATTGCTGACGATTTTGGCTTGGTTATATTTGAAATAGCATGTTGCTGTCTTCTTGTTTGAAGTACTTTCGTGATCACAGTGTATCAGACTCTGTACAACCAAATCAATTTCATGAAGAAATCCCTGCTTAGCGCAGATTCCTTTGAACGATTTCGACTACAAGCATGTGTTTAAATCAAACACTATCGAATAATGATAATACCAGGTGTTCGCTAAAAGGTGAGCGTATTCTGCCAATCAAGCACATTGCAAGCTACATTGTCAGGCTATCAGATTGTCACAAGAGGTGAGGTGAAATAGGGTTTAACGTCACGTCGAAGATTATTGCACTTGTATAGCGACGTGCATGCACGTGTGTGTGTGTGGCTGCTTGTACTAGTCGGGACTGATGCCGATTATTAGTGCTAGCCCACTGAGATACCATGCCGCAGTTTTACATGAACGCCCCACTCAGACACAGTATACTGACCCCGAGCCGACCAGTCCTTGATTTAGCCCCTTAATGCCGAGCGCCAGACAGGGTAACAACAAGTACCATCTTTATAACGTCTTTTGGTATGACCCGGCCGTGGACCGAACCCCGGACTTTCCGCTCTCCGGGCGGGCGCTCTACCACTAGACCACGGAGGCGGTCTCTAGGTATCTGAAATATGGGCAATGTTAAATGAATAATTAATACGAAATGAGAAAAGGTTTAGTGACAATATGTTGTGGAATCGCTTATATATGATGTCAGAAACACTCATTATGATCGGCCCACCATTGTCGACAGTAGCGGGTTTATGGTTTTGTTTAGCCAAGATGTGCTCCCACGAAGTGAATCCACTCACGTGACATTGACATGTACATGTATTATGTTGTTGATTGATTTTTTAAATGTCTGGCTGACCTCTTCGATGAGAGAATGAAAAGTTGAAACCAATTGCCCACTACACTCGGTTTCATTCAAAAACATAATATAATTAATTACACGTACTCTTTTGTTGCAATCTTACCCACCACATAAATTATTATACATTGACTTGGTCAGGGTAGACATTATAAAGTGATAATACTATAAATACATACTATTCATTCGTACTTGGTTACCTTTATTTATGGGGGCGGTAGGGTAGCTTAGTGGTTAAAGCATTTGCTTGTCACACCGAAGGCCCGCTTCCGATTATCCAAAAAGGTACAATATGTGAAGCCCATTTCTGATGTCCACAGCCGTGATATGTCTGGAAGCGGCGTAAAACCATACTCACTCACTATTTGAAACAATAACTTGTGAAACGAGCATAAAAAGTGTTGGCAGAAAATGAATTTGAAATGTTCATTAAGACATAGTCTACCTGATACTTTATGTATCACGATTAAACACGACATGTATAGAATTCAAATGATCTGCAAATGAATTATTGAAAATAAAATATGATGTCAGATGCAATTTCCTATTTTGATTTGCTCCCTATCAATATGTTCACGTCTTTCTTCAGGTGAACAATTGACTTGTTTTGCATGTGTTTGTGATGGGTGCCACCGCTGGGGCAGGATATGCTAACCTTCATGCGAACACCTGGTATCAAATCAAACAAGCTTTAATTGCCACCCTCACTCGACGAGCCATAACCAACTGTAATCCGCACAGTCTCAGCAAAGAAATTCAGCATCTGAAACACTTTCCACACTGGTGGAGAAAACTCAAGAAAAACAGCAAAAAAGATCCCGTTTCCAACCAAGTCCAAACCAACCCCATTACCCATCCTCCTCCTCATCCTCGTCAGGCCCTTCCAGTCACCAGGGCCCACTTGCACAAAGCGATCTTAGCGCTAAGACTATTGTAAGCCTATGTTAAAGTATGGGAGTTGCGATCATCTTAGTGCTAAGATCGCTTTGTGCAAGTGGGCCCAGGTCAGCAGGCTGCTCACCAAGACAGCCAACACAGACGTGGCTTTCACTTCAGACAGGACACTAAAAACATGCTTCATGCCAACAGTGAAGGTCCAAACTTACACTTACAGTGACCACTCAACATATAAAAGTGACCGTGAAAATGACTGATATATTTACACGTTATGCGCGAATCAGTGAGCATGTTACTTGTTTATCCCTGATTTACAATAGTTCGCCTTAGGCGATTGCATAACGCCGCCCTTCGTTGTTGTAATGTGTCGTGATCCACACTGGACGTGTGTCAGAATATGTTTATAAGTATGATGTATGATGTATAGTATGATGTATAGATGTGGTCATATGTACTAGTATATAAAGGTTAACACATTGTTGGAGAAACATCATCATCACTTCGGTCCTACACTGAACATCCCGTGCAGCAAAGCCGAATACGCCGTTAAAAGTAAGTTTTCTCTTTTTGGAGAATGGTATCATACACTCTAAGTCAGATGTGTATCAGTCGCAAAATTGATTAACATTACATTTCTATGATTGCTTTAATATTGTATTATACACATGCTTCGTACAAATATGAATAGCATTGAAAAAAATATTATTAAAGTCTGTATAAGTCGGGTAAAGTCGGTATAAGATTAGAAGGTGACAACCGTCTGTCTCATAGTCCAGATTTAATCACAGAATTAACCCAAGACATCTTATCAGTATGTGGTATACGTTTTAAGGATCGCGATTATGTCATATTAACTATGTTATTTGTGCGCATCACAATTTAGCCACGAAAAAATTACTTCAACAAATGGGTATTCCCTGTGTGTTAAATCTAAGTTCAAAAGTTAATAATGGTGACACGTTTTGAGCACGGGCCTGTCCAGTTATAATAATATGTTCTGGACATGGCAGTCATTGCCTTCTATTTAAGCCAAACTGAATATACAATACTACGTGTCGGCCATCGCAAGAACAATTCAGTTAACCATCGCGTCTTAAGTATATACAAATAGGTAAAGTTATTCCTTTAATTATTTCAAGAGAAAAAAGTTCCCAATGAAAACGTTCAAGTCCTCATTCTGCTATAACCAATGTAACATAGCCACCTTGCAGCATCACCTCATATATGAGGATACATATGCAAAGAGGGTACTGTGTCTGTCCGTGACAGCTATTTTGGCGTTCTCCACTTAATCGTTGACTTTTGGCCAATATATGGCCAGTGTATATAACATGTGACACTATAATAAACATTATTCTCTCTTCTCTCTCTCTTCTCTATATTTTGACAGGACGAAATATGGTAACAAATGTAAAATATATATTTGGGATGTTCCTTTGGCAAGATGAGTGGAAGCTAATTGGCAATGTAATGACCTATCAGCCACTCAAGTCACCCAGTCTCAGTTATTTTGTCAGTAAAAAATAATATTGAAATCTTACACTTACAACACATTCGCCAGACTCGCTACACTGGATGCTTTAGACTTAATCTAAGGTAAATCAGATATCCCTCGTGTTGATGTCATGTTATGTTGGGATCCCGTGCTAAGATCCCGAGTACATCCTACTTGTGGTGCACACTGATTAAAGTTGGAATCGATGAAGACAGAATTTACCTATTTGTTATAACGTTGATACTCCATCAATGCTACGTTTCGGCACGGTGCTAGATTCAGGCAACAACACCAACACCGAAACGTTGCATTTAAAGAATAATGACATTGTAATATGTAAGCGAGCTCTGTATTCATTAATACTAACTTCTAAAATACCACTTCCAGATAACGTTGGGATGGGAAGTGTGGCATTGTAAATTATATACCATCATACACGTACCTTGATTGCTTAAATCGAATAAGTATATTGCCTCATCCAGAATCGACTATTTACAGTAACAGTTTTTTGTACATGGTTATCTACTCTCTGCCTTGTTTAACGTTGCATTGATCAATTTGCACTATTCATGCAAGGTTAAATAATGCCAGATCGTTATTAAGGCTGACGAAAATGGCTTTTATCACTCCATCAATTAACATTATGTTTTCATGATCGTAGTGAATGTACGGACATGTATTTTTACACTCAATTTTTACTTTTCAGAAAAAACTACGGACTCTACACCGGCACCAGTACTCGTGCAGAAGAATCTATTTATAATTTAACTTATTTGATATTTATTTGTCCATTAAAGAATATTCAAAGAAAATAATTATTGACTTTTTTATTGCTTAATATCAAGCAGTTTTCAATGAGAAACAAAATGCAAAATCGGCAGATAATCGAGATTGATTATATTCTCTGGCGCTGGCTTTTTGAATTTGTGTTCACCAGTAATAGTAAATAATATTTTTAAAATTTAATATCTAAAATTTGATAGGACCTAGTGTATGTGTATGCCTGCGACCATCTGAGCGAACACGCAGTGTTATAGGTGTAGTACCAACATTCATCGGTATATCGGTGACAGGTGTATGTGGTATAAACAATGAGTTTCATTCCATATGTAGACATTTGCCAATATGGGAGTTCGGGATATTATGACAAAAATACAGGGAGGTGTTATTTATTGTCTAGGTTCATATCTCACAGTGAATGCAGACTGTAATTCCTCATTATTACATGTTTGAAGGGATGTTAAAACCAAACACTGCATGTAACTCCATGACAGCGATCCCACATATGGACAATGCATCGATGACACAAAAAATATGGTCCCCTTTTCAGATTATGTAACCCCGATATATAAGATCTCAAACTGAATGGTCATAGATATTCAATACGAAATAATATAAACTAAATTAAATTGAATGAAGGTATAATGATATTATATCTTTCATCATTATTAATACTCTTGTTCAGGTGGAATAAAGATAGGTTTGGCTCCTAGTTACAATGTACCATATATATCATTTTACAATTGATATCCATGCAATTGATCTTGGATTCACCTACACGGTGTAATTCATAGAGAGCAGCTGCCCAAAGAGGGGATGATCGATTGTTCAAAACCATAGCTGGGTCATTCTAATAGACGTCAGCAGGTGACACTTGTTGTTTCCCTGCCTGACGCTCGGCATTAAGACATAAAACAAGGACCGGTCAGCTCTGAGTCAGTATAATGTGTGGGGTATTAAATTGGGTTACGGTATCCCAGTGTTCGCACTTAAACCAGTATACGTCAGGACTAGTACCAGCAGCCACCTATCCACGTGCACGCGTCGCTTTACAAGTTAAATACTCTTGAACGCAACGCGTTTATTTCACGATGCTCACTTGAATACCTAGTTATGCCTTGGGTAGCGTGCTTTGAACTCGACATTGTAAACGTCGGTAATATGTGTATGAAAGCCCCGCGACACTGGTTCGAAACTGAACACTGGCTCAACGTTGCATGCTTGTAATTGGTAATTAGGGTTATCATGCATTGCGTGATAGTGTGAAACACAGACAATGTCTCTGTGTAACTAGTGTTACCATGCATTGCTTGGTTGTGTGAAAACGGACAATGTCTCCGTGGAACTAGAGTTATCATGCATTGCTTGAGTGTGTGAAACACGGACAGTGGTATTGTGTAACTAGGGTTATCATGCATTGCTTGATTGGTGAAACACGGACAGTGTTAGTGTGTAACTAGTGTTATCATGCATTGCCTGATTGTATGAAACACAGATAATGTCTCTGTGTAACTAGTGTTATCATGCATTGCTTGATTGTGTGAAAACGGACAATGTCTCCGTGTAACTAGAGTTACCATACATTGCTTGATTGTGTGAAACACGGACAGTGTTTCTGTGTAACTAGTGTTACCATGCATTGCTTGATTGTGTGAAACAAAGACAGTGTCTATGTGTAACTAGTGTTATCATGCATTGCTTGATCGTGTGAAACACAGACAATGTATCTGTGTAACTATGGTTAACATGCATTGCTTGATTGTGTGAAACACAGACAGTGTTTCTGTGTAACTAGTGTTATCATGCATTGCCTGATTGTGTGAAACACAGACAGTGTTTCTGTGTAACTAGTGTTATCATGCATTGCCTGATTGTATGAAACACAGACAATGTCTCTGTGTAACTAGTGTTGCCATGCATTGTTTGATCGTGTGAACACAGACAATGATTCTGTGTAATACGAGGGGTGTTCATTAAAGATTTCCCCTAAACCGCTCTATCATATTTGGTTGAAATTGCACATGTGTAATGATACATGTATCTATGGGTTATGTCTGAATTTGCAGCACCGAACTATTAATCTTACCACTTTTACAGGTGTTATGATCGAGTAGGGTGTGACAATGGAACCAGTAGAATACCGAGCAGTGATTAGGTTTTTATATTTGAAAGGTCGCACACCAAAAGAAACTTTCGATGGAATGAAAGCAACTTATGGGGAAGATGCTCCATCATATGACGTTGTTAAACACTGGCATCGCCAGTTCAAGTGTGGTCGGTCATGGAAACAGCTGCCATTCCTGGTCGCCCCCATGCAGCCATTGATGAGGACACTATCCATCAAGTGGAGACCGCCATTTTGGCAGACTGACGTATAACTGTTCGCCAGTTAGCACAAGATGTCAAGATCAGTGTAGGGTCTGTGGAAAAAATCATCAATGACAATTTGAACACGCAAAAGGCGTCTGCACGATGGAATCCCAGGTTGCTCACACCTTTCCAAAAGCAGGAACGAGTCAATTGCTCAAAGGATCTTTTGGACATGTGCCAAAAAAGCAGGCAAACTTTTTTGACAGATTTATGACACAGGATGAAACATTGGTTATTCTAAGTTGTACTTACTCAATGTATGTTGAATAACTCTATGCTTTTCTTAGTTATTCTGAGTATTGTACAGGCTTGATGTATGTTGAATAACCGTGTACAGTTATTCTGAGCATGCTCTCACGTTCATTTGTATGGTGAATAACTATGTGTGTACCATTCCGAGTATGTAATACTCGGTGTAAGGTGAATGGTCACTTGTGTATAAACTTAAGTGTAAACGTTTGTTTATAGTGTCCGGGGACCCAGAGGGGCACCTGTATGGAGTATGAGGAGGCAGAGACCTTCATTTTATGAAGCCTGACCCCAGGGCGACAGATGGCCAAGTACACAAGGATCTTTAGAGGAGACCTGAGAAGGAGACCTGAGTGTGGCTCGACACAATGTTCAATGCATAATGCAATGATGTAGAAGGAGGCGTGACGAATGACTTTGTACATATTGTGTACATAATGAGAGATTATTAATTGTTGACATGCATGTATTTGAAGTGTTGGAAGAATTAATGCCTTAAGATGTTATAATAAGGTATTGAGGTGTTGATGTTGAGATGTATTAATGTGTTCTGATATTGATGTATTGATGTATTGATGTTCTGTCATTGATGCGATGGTATATTGATGTATAAGTAGAGATTTAGAGATAGATTATTAGTACAAACTTAGTGTATGTGTAAGTAGGGTTAACCTTAACTATTTGGAAAGTGTATGTTAGAGGGACACAGGGTGTGTGTGAAGTGTGTGAAGTATGTGAAGTGTGTGTGGGGATGAGAAGAGTGTGCAGTGTGTGAAGGGTTATAGTGGAAGGTATCTGAATGGGTGTGAGTGCGTTGGATACATCATTACCAACATAGTTCTTAATTTTATTTTAGTAAATATATTCTTAATCCATATTTGGGTTGTGTTATTACTCCGTGTTGTGACAATGAGGGCTTTTACAAGCGAGGTCTCAATAGTTGCATAAAACGATGGGAGAAGTGTGTAACTCTTGGTGGTTCCTATGTGGAGAAAGACTAATACCTATGCCAAGTTTCATTCCACTAGGTCCATCGGAAGTGGGTCAGGGGAAATCTTTAATGAACACCCCTCGTACATCCAAACAATTGAACTAGCAGATCAAGCAACTGTTATTTGCAGGGAGCGAATAAATTTTGTTAGGATTGCCAATTAACCGAGCCTAGTGACCCTTTAAATGCGCGTTTATAGTTGTCAGAAGTGTAGCTCTGATTTATTATAAAATGTCAACAGTATTGAACAAAGGGAGGCATTAAAGTCAAACGAGATGCACGTTGTACATGTAGACTTAAAACCCCTGGTGAAACTCAAGAGCTGTGATCAAACATGTTATATACTTTTCTAGGTATGATATTTTTATCGGACCATGTTGGACAGTATGCAGGGACAATTACAGTATTTAATAATATATAATAAATACATATATCGGAAGTTTTGCAAATGATCGTGAAAATGACCTTAAAAATAGCCTTACCTTGTGCTAAATCTATTAGAGAGACCAAGACTACTGTCAATGGGCGATCTTTTTCAATTTATCTTCCCTTCACTGACCCGCTAGGTGCGCTGACCCGGACGGTCCACCCTTAAACTGACGGCGCATGTGGTGTGCGCGATACGAGCACTACATGTTACTATGACGGCTATAGACAGTTTACTAGTATAAGCTTCACCTCTGTCGGCAACGGTCACGCTTGTGTGTGGAGAGCATATTTTTTCGCCTAAACAATGATTTATCTATTGCCATGTCCGGAAATAAATGTTCCTTGAATTAATTATACATCAGGGATGACCACGACTGATTATATTGTATAGTTATTCACAAGATAGGCGTTCGAAGCGATGCGGTGAGATCAGCTGATCGTTCAATCCCAGGTCGCTTTGTTGACGTTTTGCAATCGGTACTGAAAGTGTTGCCCTTGATGTATGAATATGAAAATTAAGTAGATTTTGTATACGTTCCTATATCTATGTTGTAGCATCGCCGAGCAGGCTACATCATATGCATGCATTTCAGTATGTACAACGGTGAGGCGACACGGCACGCGAAATATGAAGCTCACATGCAACGTTGCCCGTAGCCTTGAGCAATGTTGTGAATATTGACAACAACACATGTAGGCCCAAGTATTTCAATGAGAAATGTTCTCAAGAAATTGTAAGAGTAATAGGCACTGTAAAATTACGTCATCAACTAGATATCATGATTCAATGTTCAAAATAAAAGAAATGGAAATCACTGAAATCTGTTTTGATATTTAAGGGTTAATTGGTACATGTTGTATACAAGGATTTTATGTATATGATTATGGTAGCTGTTTGTTGCCAAATACTACCATGATTATATTTCAATATGATCAATGCAAGATATATATTATTTAGTCCTTTTTTTAATTTATCAAAGTAAAAAAAAAATTTCAGACACAGAGGACCCTATATATTAGTTAAAATACATATACAAGAGTATTTGTGCCAGCTACAATTTTTATAAAATAAAACAATATATTCATACTAATTGCCAATCTCTATAATGCTCATTGTGTATTAACAAGGCAGTGTCTACATCCAGTTTGCAATGACAATAATCATATGATTGTGACACAGATAAAGCTGATTCTTAACCTCATTAGGCCTTGCTGTTTATGTTTCCTTGTTCTAAACTGATGTTTCAAATTCCAACATAAACAAATTATTAATGCTTTTCTTTTTTCTCTTCACACTAAAAGATATTTAAGTTTATTTAATATCTTGGCACACTTGTGCATGTGTACTAGTATTTGATTACACATGCATGACTTTTTAGCTGTCATCTGTTTCTGAACTGAATATTATGCTGATAAATAAAGATAAGTAACATAAAAAAAGGACTCTGGGTATTCTTTCAGGTTTGGAGAATCAATCAATTCATTGTGAAAACATGTTTTATTTCTTACATAAGTTACTTTGATCTTGATACGATCAAAATAGATCCAATTTAAATTGAGGAGATTAAATTATGCAGTTTTAGTCATTTCAGGCAGGCTGTCTAAAATCCGGTCCTATTTTTCAGGGAATAATAAATGAATTAAAATTTAATAAAAAATATACCTTACCTGAGTGAATCAGTCAATATGTATATTGACAGACATTTTCAGTAAAAAACATTGGGCCTGATTATAGACACTCACTGTAACATATGTAAGTATATTCTGTTATATGCAAAAACAAATAACATAAATATATCCATTTATCTACATGGATTGACTGTGGGGTTCAATTTGCATTTATTTAACCATCAGAAGATATTGATGATAAACTTTAATATTCATATTTTCATATAAAATTCATATTTGCCCTATGATAATAATATCTATAAAATATACTTTATACTGCAGGTGTCTTGAAGTACTGTTGAATGAAAATCAGGATACTTAGATACAGCAGGATAGTGTTTGGGTTTGTATGGGAAATAATTTGTCAACATTAAAATAAATGTTATGTTACTAAAACAAGAAGATAAAACTATGATTTATATTTATGCATCATACACATTTTGTGGGGTAGTCAGTATGATTTGTTGTTTGTTGGGACACATCTCTGTAATTAACTAGTATTTTAAGAGCATGAGTATCAGAATTCTGTAAGAAATGATGGATCAATGAATTAACACCTGTGATGACTTAGAGCACTTAATGGTGGGACACATGTTATGAGGGTCAGAATAATATGGGTAAATCTCTTATTTCAAAGTATGATGACTAGTATGTATATTGCAACTGAGTAACTGAGTGCTTAATAGATGCATGGTAGATGTTCATTTGGCCTATTTCTAAAAAAAATAATATAAATTTAAATATTCAGATGCAACTTTAATTTTGATATAAAAAGAAACGTTAAAAATCAGTTGTTTTATAATTTTGAACGTTATTTATTCTTAAAATATTTGTAAAGGCACGGATGTATACTTACTATATAGATCATTGGTAAAGGCCTGTCAAAGATGTCTGTGTGCTGCAAATGTTGGCGTATCACTAATTTCATTAAATTGAAGTCCGTGGTAGTATTTGTTGAGATTTGAATGCTTGAATTGTTGTGGGAAATAACACAAAGGCTGATAAATGAAATGAGTTTGCATTATTTCACCGATGCAATATGTTAGCCCAGACTGACAGAATGCCTCGCTGTTTTCTGACGTAGAAAATACCGTGGCAATATACCATTTTTCATGACGTTTTTCCTGCTATATTCCAAAGTGACAATTCGTCTTGTAGTTGAAGACTCAACAAATGTTGATATTATAAACTAACAATCACTACAAAATATGTGCTAGTTAAAAATATTCAGTTGTAAACGATCGTTTTTAAACGAAAGTGCAACAGGATAAACCCTTAGCTTGGCTCCGTCTCTACATGTCAGTAGTTGTCGCAGCGCGCATTGATCCGAGAACCAGACCGGAAGCGACAGTTTGGACCGTCACTTATATCATTTCAAAAGGAGAGTTATGGCTCTTTGGAACAAAAAGATCGCCCATTCAAGTCCTAGTCACAGAGAAGATATAAAGCTACGCCTGTGAACTCTTGAAGAATATGTTGCATCAGTAAGCTTTGCTTGGGGACGTTTGAATGTATCTGTCGGTATAAGATAGGAAGTGGTGCATTGGGCATCACCGAATTGATATAAAAATGGTCGGATGTTTTTACACGAAAGAAGAGAGGGGAATATCATTTTAAAAGATTACGTATCTGGGTCACATGATACTTCACGTTCATAGATTTGTGTGTCCAGGGGTCATGTCGTACATACATATCGTATAACAGTGTGTACATTAAGAAATACACTTAAAAAAGGAAGTCTCGTATCACCCTAGATGACTAATAGATCTGCTGTGCCTCTAGAATATTTGTCTTAATGTAAATTGACGTAAATTTGTTTGCCGATCTATTGATACTATCATAAAAAATACCCTATGATTTCGTCATTAATGTTTTTTCACATTTAAATATGAGTATTGCTCAACTTACATAATATATACATAACTTTACGTTTCGGAGTATGTACTTACTCCTTCATCAGGTGAATGATGAAGGAGTAAGCATATACTCCGAAATGTTGTGTTTCTCATATTAAAGAAGTGAACATCCATAAATTCTCTGCCTTATGTGTATCACTTCTCAATGCCTTCCAAAGACTATACTTACATGTACTGCCGTCAAATGTACATACCATTTTGTTAAACTCGTTGAAATACCTCTAGTAGCTAAACTGAGGGGCATGCACAAAAGAAGCTATACCGGCTTTGTTTTTTATGTAATTGAAACCTGAAAGAGATGCTGCTCACTCATTCTTGCAACAAATTGTTAAGAGTAATCTGTTCGTGGCTGGGTAATTGTGTGTAAAAAGCACACTGGTTCATTGAAGACTGGGGTAAGAAATTATTTTGAAACCACATGACACCAGCAGTTGTGTACTATGCGAAAAAAAACTATACTTTTAGAAAAATTTAAATCAAATTATGTTGCATTTGTGATATTATATAATAAGGTATAAATATCTTTGGATATAAAATCGATAAATTAAGATATTTTCTATTTTAAACCATATTTGATAAAATCAACTGTGAGGTATAGTTTCTGTTGCTCCTCAGTTTGCAATATGGTCATTTCTGAACACCGGAATACTGATTTCATGCATCTGCTATCTGTAGATAAACTTATCCAACACATACTCAATCTCAACTTTCTAAATCATCTGATCACCTAACTAACATGTAGTAATTGCAACCCCAATGTATGTGACAACATGAGTGACAGGTTGTAAATCATGCATAATAGTAACCTAAGTTTATGGTTCACAGAGTCGAAATACACACAACAAAACGTGATTTAAGACCCTAATTGCACGGCGACTATGATGTATTATACTGATTAGTGTGTATATATACCGTATATATTTCTTTACTTTCTATACAGTTGGACCAAGTGTGTTCCTGACCACAGCCACAAGTACAGGTATGCTACTTATAACTTGGTTTATGTAAACTTTCATGTCACAATTGCATTTGCATACGATTTTCGGCATCGCGACCTTAATCAAAATATATATCATCGAGTGTCTAGAGAAAACATGGAGCTTAAAAGGAGCTTTGGTGCAATAATCAATACTCATTGTACAGTTGTGCAGACTATGGTATATTAATTTGAAATGATGTGATAATAACTGAAAATGTGCATACCGTTCTATTTCAGCAATCACCAAAGCAAATCATGCAGCTGAAAAACGTCTTGCTCCTCCTTGTCGTCACTGTCGCCGTCACAAGCGCCTTTAGGAGGCCCAGCTTCAACACCATCTATGCCCTGTATGCATACAGCGACATGGACACCCCGGACTTCCCCGACTTCTACAACCCCATGTACAGCTACATGATGGGAAGACTCGGCAGTCGTGCTGGTCAGAGAACAAACAACAATCTCAGGAATCTGTTCAGGATGAAAGCTCTCGACCTTATCTGAGGTAAAATACTACAAAATAAGATGCCCATGAAATGTTGAATTTGACAGATTGTTACACGGAACAAGCATGTATACAAAATTTCTTCACGGTAATTTTCTAAACACTTCATCAACTTATGTAATCACATTTGATCATCTGATTGTGGGTTTGAATCCCGGTTCGTCACGCGTATATATCTAGGTTTGTCAGCACCATATATACCCGTTCTCGTGGGTTTCACCAGAGTGGTAAACGTCTGAGACCTGCATCACTTGAGGGCTTTCCTTAAGCTGACACACCGTGATATAAGTGGAATACTGTTAATAAATGAAAACTGAAAAACCAGTCACTCACGCACTCACAAGTAATCAAGTTACCAGAACATGGTAACGAACTGATAAACATATGATTGTTATTTTCAGGCAGATAACCCGAACGAAGGATGACCTGCGTGAAGGTCCAGTTGGATTGTTTGGTAAAATTATCGGTATCCTTGAAATAAAGACAAATAACCACAATGTTTGATTTTGTTTTCTGTGAAACATAGTTAATGGAGTTTTCGTCAAACAGAATACACGTCCCATTGAAATTGGAAGCAGCGTCCTAATTTGCACGTATGAACCAGTGAAATGACACCTTTACAGGTGTGCGTCAAGGAAAGGTTCATTTCGTTCCATTCCAGGAGTTAGTCTGCTGTCAAGTTATTCGTGCATGCAGACATATCCAATATCATTTAGGGGCACGGGTAGCCTAGTAGTCTGAGGCCAAACATTTCGCTGTGCAAAGTTGCGTCCCTTGGAAGGCCAGAAATCTAAGAATATGGGTTCCAATCCCGGATCGCCCCGATTATATTTCTAGGTTTGACAACATAATACCAGTGACCGTAGTGGTAAGCGTTTGCGATCTGCATCACTTCGCGCTTTCCTCCCACACAAAGGTGAAAACAAACTTGAAAGAAAACTTGACTACTGTTCAAAGCGGCTTTCAAACCCACCTCACTCACTCACTCAAGTCTTGGAAGTCTGGAACGTCGCCCAAGTGTAAGTGTTGAATTAAAATTACCCATGGGTGAAAATAAGGAATTTCACAACGCAAACCCGTAGTGATTCATAGCAGTTCTTGACGATGGGTACACAGACAATACAAAAGGCGCCTACACCAATTTAGATGTACACCATAAGCTTGGGGGTTTAGCGTCAGAAAAGATTAATGATGTTGTTTTCCTCATATTTGATTTATAAGGGTTTTGTAAAAGGTCATGTGCATATGAGCATCATACGCGAGGAACCAGTGAACACCTTCTCCATGCAAGGGAGTTAACTGACTATAAAAGTCAGGACGGAATTATTCACAGTATATATGATGTATGCACTAGAAAGAAGGGCATGCTTACCCTTTTCGTGAACACCTGGTGTCATGACTGATTTTCAGTGGTCCATTCATATAATTTCCACAGATATTTGTCCTTTACGCCAAGTGGAATCTGTTTCGGCAGAAAATCTGGGCTGGTTATTCTCTTGCATTGACAATTTATATCCACAATATTGATGTGTTGTGCTTTATAAGAGAAAGTGATTCACAATATGATGCATTGCACTACATGTAGATAAGAGAAAATGATTCACAAATTATATTGACGTGTTGTGCTTGATAGGAGACAGCGGTTCACAATATGATGAATTGTACTAAATCTCGGGCTTCTGCAAATGATAATACCCTGAAAAATAGCGTTACCCTTATATTAGATGACAGTAAACGCAAGTGTGTTATCCAATATATGTTATGTTCAGTTCAAAATGTTTACACTATTGTAATTATATGTAGACCAAACCAAATAAATAACCGGAAATAGCGGAAACGTCAGTGAACATATAAATTTGATTTTATATCAGGTACATACATCATTGGTTTCGATGTCATGAGTGGTAATTACGTACATATTCATCAAATGTTGTTTTGTTTTTAATTCTTAAATTGTGTACCTGAAACATGGTTCCTTTCCCTAGAAGTTGTCTGGAACATTTACTTCTTCAACATGCATGTTTTACGATGTTGTCCACACAGTGAAATAAGTATACTTGTTTCTTTCCTAACACCTGCTTTTCGCACATTTTAGTGTCTAAGGGTTGAATATTTACGATTGACTTCAATGATTCAGTGCAAGGCTGGTGGGTATGATTCACAATGACGCAATTAATTAAGGGATACAAATTCACAAAACATGATTTTAAAATATTTGATACAAAAATTACTCCAATTCTTTTATATGGAGCAGAGGTCTGGGGACATCCTGAATACAGAACTATTGCACTGGTCCATCTATATGCTTGTAAACGATTCCTTGGCGTAAAAAACTCTACATCGAGTGTTATGGTATATGGTGAATGTGGACGTGTACCACTTTACATATTTCAACATATTAGAATTCTCAAGTATTGGTTCAAGATTCTGAAAATGCCTATTGATAGATTACCTAGAAAATGTTACAATATGATGTTATTGTATGAAAAACATGGAATCCGCAATTGGGTATATGATGTAAAGTAGTTATTAAATGATTGCGGTTATGGGTATGTTTGGCATAATCAATGTGTACCAAACAATCCAGATTCATTTTTAGTATCTTTACGCCAAAGACTTAAGGATATATACTTACAAAAATGGACATCGAATGTTTTAAGTTCAGAAACATGCAATTATTACAAGCTTTTCAAGACAACAATTTCCCGAGAATACTATTTGTTTGACATCAACTTGAAAAGGTTTAGAATAAGTTTAGCACAATTTAGATGCAGCTCTCATAGACTTAGGATCGAAGTAGGCAGGCATAGAAACATAGACAGAGAATTGAGAATATGTGAGCAATGTGATTTAAATGTGATTGAAGATGAGTTTCATTTTCTGTTAGTTTGTCCAAAATACGACCACCTTAGAAGAAAATATATTGATCTGCCTTGTTATGTACATCTCACTCTACAAAAATTGTATCAATGTTCATTTATCATGCTATGTTAATTAGAATATGACCTGTTAAACGGATCTGTAACCACTCCCGAAAACAGAATTGTACTATTGGCCTGAGGCCTTTCAGTATGGAATAAAACTTATCCTATCCTATCCTATCCTAAAACATGACTGTATGGCTGGTAAAGTGCACCTAAGTTTTGTTTTATCACTTTAGCTATTTAAAAAAAGAATAAATAATTTACTGATCTTAAAGTAGAGTGTTTCTTTCCAAGTTCACAAAAACAATATACAAATAAGTGATCACTGATGAAGATGGATAAAATTAGCCTTAACTGCTATATATAGGTCCTGAGTAGTACTGTTGAATTTAAGAGTAGAAAGCCCTGACACATTAATGCGTTCTTTGTTCTGTGATCTCAGGCCAGTGACATTAACATGATACATATAGATGTACAACTCTATTAATAATACACAAACAAATATACTTCATTTTAAAAGCATGGTTTTCAATAACACCGTATTTTCAGTTTGCAAGTCACCCTCAAACATGTACTCAAGTACAAACAGATTCCCACTCAGCTCTTGTCAAATAAGTAATAACACTCCAACCTTTATCTGATATTTATCAAAAAGAGTTAAACAAAAAAGTACTGATATATTTCATATCAAAAGATACGAGGGGTAATCGTATTTATTTGATCATCGAAAATCATTATATATATTTAATAACTATACTATTTCGACGGATAACTATACTGAATAAACACAGACACGTTGGACATTGTTAAAGTATGTTAAGCCTCCTACTTCCTATCTCCCACTTGTATGTGTTTAGAATTATTCAGCAACTGGTCGGTGACAATATATAAACGTTGAATTTAAACGAATGATAAGCGTAGGTGAATGAGTGAGTCAACTTTGCGTTGTGTCACAGCCAGCAATATTCCAGCTAAATCACATCTGCCTGCAGTTAAGTCTGGACCAGGAAACCAATGACCGCAAAAAGCACTAGCAATGACCCAGTAATCGGAGTATAATGACACACAATCAGGTTTTTTTTGTTGAACGCCGCACTCCAGCTATATGACGGCGGTCTGTAAATAATCGAATCTGGACCAGACAATCCAGTGATTTACATCATGAGCATCGTTCCACGCAATTGGGACATGCATTAACCAAGTCAGTGAGCCTAACCACTCGATCCCGTCAGTCGCCTCTTACGACAAGCATTGTCGCCTTTTACGGCACACAATCAGTCATGAGGTGAGGTTGGGTTGAAATTTAATACAGCGCTCACGCTTACATAGCGACGTGCATGTGCGTGTGTGTGCGTGTGTGTGTGTGTGTGTGCGCGTGCGTGTGTGTGCGCGTGCGTGTGTGTGTGTGTGTGTGTGTGTGTGTGTGTGTGTGTGTGTGTGTGTGTGTGTGTGTGTGTGTGTGTGTGTGTGTGTGTGTTTTGCTGCTTGTGCTATTCCGGATTTATTCAGGTTTAAAGTGCCAACCCATTGTGCTAACCCACATGCCTTAGTTTAACTTTAATAACCCACTCAGACACAATTAACTGACTCCGAGCCGACATGTCATTGTTTTATCTCCTCAATGCCGAACGAAGAACCGTCTTTTACGGTTTGATCAGGGGATCGAACAACCGATCTTCCGCTCCTCGGGCAGACTCTCTGTCCACTACACCAAGGAGGCGGACAGCCGAGTAACAGATAATAATTTACAATATTAACAAGATAGTACAAACATTACCAGACTACCTCCATCATGATGCACTGTCCTGGCTTACCTGAGTGATATGTCAAACCCGTTTCGCATGTCACCTGACGATTTTCCCAATAATTTACTAAATGTTCAAACATGATCCTTACATATGCCAATTACCATACAAAATGTTGTGGTTTATTGTCGCCTGAAGAAAACCAGGTGTTGCATCGGTGATCACAATATGATGTCATTATTGGAGTGACGGTTCAGAAGTGATAAATATGCCATATATATGCTTTAATGCTCAGTGAGCAATACTTGCAGTGTATATAAAACAAGACAAAAGTTTAACTGGACACTCTCCTCCATTGACCCAGAATATTTGAATCAGTCTTTCCACACACAGGTATGCTTCAGTTTCCTATGGTCATGCATGCACATGTTATGGCAGTAAATCATGTTCTGATTGTAAAGAACAGACCACAATCATGCTGTCGACGTTTATCAATACAATTGATAATAGACATATTTGTTCATGTTAATATGTGTGAGAGTTTACATATGCAAGTATTCTTGTAATATGTAATGACGACTGACAACATTCTAGTACTTGTGACTAACGTTTATTATTTCAGCCGTTTCAAGTACAACCATGCAATTGAAGATTGTTTGTCTACTTCTGGTCGCCACTGTGGCCATGACAGCCGCCTACAGGGGTCAGTACAACTCTCTGAGGAACCAAGGGCGTTACGGTCGCTACGGCTACGACATTGAGCTTCCCGACTTCCCCGAATTTGATAGCTACATGTACAGATATCTGATGACGAGCGGTCGTCGACAAGGCAGACAGAGCAGACAAAACACAAATCGCTACAACAGTTTGAGGAATCTTGCCAGACTTGAGGCTTATGACCTCATCTGAGGCAGGTGAAAACTAGTCAGTTGTTTCCTATTTACACTCTTTTACACACACACACACATACACACGCGCGCGCGCGCGTACACAATGTGATGTGTGTAGTCTGACGAAAAATGTATTAATTGTCGGGCGTAACATTTGTTTCTGCCTTCAGAAATACAGAACCTGAAATCGATTGTGTAGTGACAGGTTCTGTAGCTTTTCATTGGCAAAAGATATTTGACTACCTTTTCAATTGCTTGCTCTGTGTCTTTGCATCTTAGAATATGAATTAATACTTGCGATCATCTGTAGTAATACACATCGTTCGTGTAACTTTTCAGCAGGCATCGGCCAATGGTGTCTCAGACATTTATACAAATAAGATCAATGTCATATGTAGATATTACGAAAAGATGCATCGAATGTCTTCCTACAGAAAACTAAGAACAAGTGGTGATATAAATATATCGGTTTTATTTGTTTCTTTGCAGAATACAACGAGTGACATAAGACATGTAAATGGCAGACATATGCGGAATTTGAAGGGTTTTAGATTTAACTACAAATTTACGAATAAAATCAACATTTGAAAAAACAAGTTTGTTGTCTCTGAAGAATTATATGCTAAAAGCCACGTGGTACGAGAGCGTAAGTCCGAATGATCAGGATCAGGATATAATTCACGTTGGAAGTTGTCCAGCCTCTGTATAGTCCCCAGGGAGCTGATCCATTGTTTGTTTATTTGTTGTTTAACGCCGCACTCAGCAATATTCCAGCTATATGACTGTGGTCTGTAGATAATCGAATCTGGACCAGACTGTCCAGTGATTGACATCATGAGCATCGATCCACGCACTTATACGATACGATACGATGATCCATTGACTGGGATAATAACTCGGATAACTTGTCATCAAAGCAATTGATGATAAAGAGAAGCTGAGATGGTCTGAACAAATATCAAAGAAAACTAGATCTGAATCGATTCTACTGCATCCACAATAAATTGGTGCCACATTGCAGTGGAGTATGTCTAACCTATACAGTAGACCAATGTATACTCTTAGCGTGGTATACTCCCTATAATGCATGAACTATGTCTTTCATGTAATGACGAGTATGACGATATAGTTGAAACATCAACTGTTGAACTGTGAAAGACTATTTCGACAGAGAAAAGTAATGTACGAAAAGTTGTTCGAGTCAATAATGCTAGACCGGTATAAAGACTTGAAGACTGTTCAGAAGACATGATAGGTGGTATCACACGTCTCAGATGATATGGACCTTGGACAATGGGCCCATTTCATAAGCAATGTGTCAAAAGAAATTAGTTCATGGAACCTAAAATCTATACGGTACCTGTGAAAGAATATCAGCAATGTAAATAATTCAATCCAACTTATCTGTATAATCTAATAATTCATTGTTTATGTATATTCATGTCATGTGTTGTGTCAACCTTATTATGATGTTTGGAGGAAATAAAGAACATTAATTAATTCATTCATTCATATGTCGTCGGTTCAACCAGGTGGATTGACAAGACTGCTTCGGTTAAAAACATCATGGACGCTGACATCCAAAGACATACTAAAGTAGCTGGAATATTGCCGCGTGAGGTGTTAAACAACAAAAAACAAACAAACAAACAAAACATCCAATTACATCAACTGAAAATTTTCGGCACCAAACACTCTTAAAAAACACCCCGCAAATCGTAAGACACAACTTTTAAACACTTGTTTAAGTACTCGCGTGTTGAAGTGGTGATCATTTCATCCAGCCACACGTGATGATTTTCAAATTTGAGATTGAGAAAAAAGACACTCATCAAGGAAGTATTCAGACGCAGTGAAAGATTTCCACAGCACACAATCCCATTTCTTCCGTAATTGCTTTTCATCCCTTCGGAGCACGCTGCCATTGACTGCGTTACAGTAGCTATACACAAGTAGTAGAAGATAATGAATCCACTACATTTATGTAAACCATATCGTGGATTTATAATGAACGAAGAAGCAATCCATTGGGTCATATTACGACGGGTCAATTACTTTTCAACATAATCCCCTCCAAGCTCTACACACTTCTGCCAAGAATCCTGGAGTGCCTGAATTTAACTGGTGTTCCAGGTTTCAATTTGATGGTGTCCTCCAATTGAATAAAGGGGGCACGGGTGGCCCAGTCGTCTGAGGCGCCGCGGTTCGCTGAGCAGAGCTGCGTCCCTTGGGATTGCCAGAAACCTATGATTGTGGGTTCGAACCCCGGTTCGCCCCGATTATGGTTTTAGGTTTGTCAGCACCATACCCGTGCTCGTGGGTTTCACCGAAGTGGTAAACGTCTGAGACCTGATTCACTTCGGGCTTTCCTCCAAAATTAATCTGACACGCCATGATATAACTTGAATACTATTAAAAGCGGTGTTAAACCCAACTCACTCACTCACCCCCATTGCATAATGCTTGTCAGACATTTAATTCTTCAAGTTTGAGAAGAGAAGGAAATTTGATTGTGACAGATGTTCAAATATATAGTCATGCGTTACGGGCATGACGACCACAAACTGATGAGAGGGCCACAGGTCCATCAAGCTACTACAGTTTCAAAAATACTTCAATACCGGCCGTTGATATTGGGCAGGACCCATTGTTTTATTAAGATATACATGTACATGTAATATGAGTGAGTCACTATAGTCTTTCCCTCCTTGCAATATTCCCGCTATATCACAGCTTGGATAGTCAATAATTGTCATCAAACATTGTTCCCATCATTCCAAAAAGAGATAAATCAAACATATATATAGAGATACTAAAGTAGTTTTATTTCTTTTTTCCAAACCGAACTTCATTGGCACCTCTCAGTTGATGTCTTCACATTACAGTAGAACGGTATCTGAAAAATTATGAAAGAATAGTGTCAAGAATTGCTGCTTCTGTCATTCAGAATCAGTACCAACATCAATATTAATATGAATACCTTGTCAGAATGCTATTCATGAGATCAGTTGAACAACGTCGACCGTCTACTCAAGACAATATAATTTCTAAACATGCTTGATATAGTTACAAGCAGAACATTTGGGAGGGTACATTGTTATAGTTACCTCAGATAAGGTCGAGAGCTTTCATCCTGAACAGATTCCTGAGATTGTTGTTTGTTCTCTGACCAGCACGACTGCCGAGTCTTCCCATCATGTAGCTGTACAAGGGGTTGTAGAAGTCGGGGAAGTCCGGGGTGTCCATGTCGCTGTATGCATACAGGGCATAGATGTTGTTGAAGCTGGGCCTTCTAAAGGCATTTGTGACGGCGACAGTGACGACAAGGAGGAGGAAGACGTTTTTCAGCTGCATGACTTGGTTTGGTGATTACTGCAATAGGTATAGACGCGTTCAGTTATTATCACATCATTACATAATATATAACATAGTCTGCACAACCTGTACCGTGGACATTGACTATTGCACCAAACTTCAATAAAGCTGCATGTTTTCTCTAAACACTCGTTGATATATATTTTGACTAAGGTTGCGATGCAGACAATGGTATGCAAATACAATTGTGAAATGAAAATTAACATAAAACAAGATATAAGTAGCATACCTGCACGTGTGGCTATAGTCAGGAACAAGACTGGAACAACTGTATAGAAAGTAAAGCAATGAGTGGTGTATATATACACAATATTCATTATAATACATCATAGAAATCATGTCATTATGATTAAATCATGTTTAGTTGTGTGTATGTCGACTCTATGGACCATAAACCAGGGTTAGTTTTATGCATGATTTACAACCTGTCACTCATGTTGTCATATACATTGGGGTTGCAATTACTACATGCTAGTCAGTGATCAGATGATTTAGAAAGTTAAATGGTTGAGTATGTGTTGGATAATTTGATCTGCAGACAGCAGATGCGTGAAATCAGTATTCCGGTTTTCAGAAATGACCACATTATAAACTGATTGTATCATATATGTTTGATTGACGAATGAAAATATCTTAATTTAGTGATATTACATCCAAAGAATAATTAGATCATATTATATAATATCAAAAATGTAATGGCGCCCAGTCAGCACACAAAGTATACTTCTAAATGGAGTTTCTAAAATATCACTTGATTTAAAACATTATAAACTTATAGGTGTTTTTTCGCATAATACACAACTGCTGATCATTTCTCACCCCAGTCTTCAATGAACTTATTTATTTGTTGCATAAAATTACCCAGTCACGTACAGATTACTCTTTACAAACTGTTGCAGGATTGAGTGAACAGGAGTCCTTTCAATTTTAAATTTCATAAAAAATAATCTCGGTATACGTTTTTTTGCGCATGCCCCTCAATTTAGCTAGTTATTTCTACGAGTTTAACAAAAAGGTATGTACGTGTCATGGCTTTACATGTACGTGTAGTTATGTATACTACTCAAAAGAAGTAAAGGAACACCCGATTCTTTCATATTACTATAGTTAATATCTCAGATTATGACAGATTAACTATAGTAATATGAAAGAATCGTTTGTTCCTTAACTTCTTTTGAGTAGTATATATATTATTTAGTTAAGCTGTATTCATATTTAAACGTAAAAAACATAAGTCGCATAATTGGGTATTTTACATTGTATCAATAGAGCAGCAAACAAATCAGAACACAAGATGTACGTCAATTTACATTAAGACAACTATTCTAGTCGACAAACAGATCTATAAGTCGTCTAGGCCATCCGTGACTTCCTTTATTTGAAAGTATTTCTTAATGCTAACACTGTTGTGGTTTTTGTTGCTGCTGCTGCTGCTGCTCCTGCTGTCTTTGTTGTTGTTAATTTCCCTGCAGGTGTGGTGGTGATTGTTAATGTTCTGACATTTATATCCGGAAATGTTATGTCCAGCATAATTTCAATGTTACAGCTTCAGAAGGATTGTTGTCGAAACATACATGTTGCGTCGATGCACATAGGTTCATGGTTTGGAAATGCAAAACCCAAATGGTGACACGTTTCTTCTTTGTGACTAGAGACATACTTGGACCACTGAATTGACAGTAGTCTTGGTCACTCCAATGGATTTAGTATAATGGTAACGCTATTTTTCAGGGCAATATCCCGACCATTTGCAATATTTCCGAGATCTGACGTAAACGTCAATTTTGGGGGTTTAATTGGAATAGACAAACAAGGAAGTTATACGTTTTAAGGATAACGACTGCTTCATTATGTCTTCATCTCCAATCTGTCGCTTGTCTCCTCATCTAAATCGTTTCTTCAAAATATATGCACGAGCCTTCACCGACTCATATAACATAATCTGAATCGTGAGCTTCTCGCTCAACCACGCAAACAGACAGAGAATTAACAGTGACGTTATATGTCAACATGAATGATAACGGCAAATCGTTAGGCAAAATGATGTCATTTTCAAAGTACATGCTGATAACGTAAGTGTCTTTTTGTGAAAATCGACTATCCCTTCATCTCCTTACAAGACTGGAACAACTGTAAATATGATCCTT